AGCAAACACTAGTGCCAAAAAGAGTGTTGAAATTTGGGGGAAGACGCGGATTAGTGAAAATTCTGCTTATGGACTAGTAACAAGCCATCACTGCTGGTCCGGCTGGCAAGTGAGAAAAACGTTACGGGCAAACCCTGTCCATGCACGATGTCATATGTACACTGCGCTTGCTGGATTGGACAATGATATACTGTACATGTACGTTGCTATCCTCGCTCGCTCTGATGCTACATTGTCGGCTTTGTTATTCCACCACTTTGTGTACAGTTTCAAAGTCTTTTGGCAATTCCATAATTCGGTGTGGTAGCTTCACCACTCCGTGTGCCTTTTACCCACAAAAGTTGGAAATATTCATATGTCTCCTGGTATGTGGTCAAGGGGGGTGTTGTGACATCTAACACCAAGTTTCGTGGAATTTTATGAATCTTGTCACATTTTAGGGCTGAAAAAAAAACATGTGTCCTTCCTCCATGGTTCTACATAACCAAATTGTGCTTATCAACTTTTCAGCTACATCCGGCAAATTTTAATACATCGACCGGTTGCCTCGTTGCCATCACACCTTTTTGGCAGTAGCACGGCGCAGCGGGAACCAGCGGAAACCTTGCATGAAGCAATATTGCGTGCGTGTTTTCGAAACCGTGATAGCGAAATGCGAAGGGAACTTGTGAAAACCACAAAACTTTCTTTCCACATGTTGTGAATGTAAAGCAGCTGTTTTGTGAAGACAGGATCCTGTCTTTCCTAGGAAAGACAGGATTGATTTTTTTCCTTTTTTGAGCTGTGAGAAGAGATGGATACACGTACGATGGCTAAAATTTGCCGGAGGTAGCTGAAAAGTTGATAAGCACATTTTGCTTAGGAAGGACACATGTTTTTTTCAGCCCTAAAATGTGACACGATTCATAAAATTCCACGAAACTTGGTGTTAGATGTCACAACCCCCCCCCTTGACCACATACCAGAAGACATATGAATATTTCCAACTTTTGTGGGCAAAAGGCACACGGAGTGGTGAAGCTACCACACCGAATTATGGAATTGCCAAAAGACTGTGAAACAGTAT